TTTAAACAATTTCCTGTGCTTCCTGATCTAAATGGCTTTGTGATTAGTTAAGGCCTCTGAAAACAACCTTGGTTGTGGAGGGGCTAAAGAAGATGCAAGGTGGATGGCTTCAGAGCTCTGAAAGCTTCTGTTTAATGCTGATAAAATGGCATACTTGTTTCCATGTGCTTGCTTATCTCCCAGACAAAATTTTTCAGTTTCTGTTTTGCTCCAACTACAAGTGGAGACCTCCAGAGGGTGAAAGCCAAGTCCTTCACAGTCATGTCCTTCCCTCCTTTGCAGTAACAAAGATGTCTGTGGATTAATGTTTGTACAGCTATTGTCACTGACATGTATGCTGCTCAGATTCATTCTTGCACAGGACTCTTCTCCCATGTGCACAGGAAGAACAACTCATGTTTTCTTAATCTCCCTGGGGAAATGCTGCAGCCTGTGCACTTATGGATTGTTTACAAGTTCTGCACAGCTTTATTTTCCCCAGGAAATCAAAAACTGGGAGCTTACTTTGTTAGAAGAGCTTGCTCTTTCTCATTTAGTATGAGAACTCCTTAGAAAACCAGTCGAAGAAGAGCCTAACTAAATATTCAGGCTTAACTCCATTTGTTTCCCAGCTAGAAAATATGAAGATAATTTAAATACTGCTATTCCCAAATCACAATGTTTGTTCTTTGAGAGTCATGCTACATTCTCATCAGGCTATATTTCTGGTGTTCTCCTATCTGTTATTTTAAGAAAGTGTCCATATTTGAAATGAGAAGTACATCCATGCTTATTATTTTAGTCCTTCCGTGCAGAGCGCTCCCCTGCTTCTTTCTCAGTCATTCATTTTTGCGCTTTGTGTAGGATGAAACCTCCTTACTCATGGCGTGTGAAGGCAGCACAGCATCAACCTTCTGTCTCCCCACTCTGGACTGAGAATTACAGGTAAAGTAAGAAAAATGCTATTCTCTCTTGATAGACTGAAGTCAAAATAAGTGAACTTATTTCATTAAATGGATGTCAAAATAGCATAATTTCTTTACAAGAACAATGATGTGCTTGAAGTAACTTTCAGGAAAAAGTGATCAGTGGCATGAGATTAAAGGAAGCAATAATTTTGTTCCTGAGTCACATCTACTGTGTGTGGCAGAGCAGATGTTACAGACATGGAAACTAAAGCAGACTTACATGAGGAATAATATTGACCTTCATTAATTACTCTGAAGCAACTGTCAAGAAGCAATATTTAAAGAACATGTGCTCACCAGGCAGCTAGTGTTAATACTGCTTAAAGATCCTGTTGGAGATAACTGACTTTTGTTTCTTGTTGGAAAATACTTCTCAGTGCTGGAATGGTCAAACAAAAAGTTTCATAGGGTTGCTAGCACCAGTCATGGTCTTGTCTAAGAGGAAAAGAGTAACTGACAGTGGAATTTTCAAGCTGTTAGTTCAGTTTCTGTCCTGTTTGATGTCACAAGGAGGAATTAGGAGACACCATGAATTCAAGAGTACCCAGGTTGAGTTCCAGAAGTGAATCCTCTATTGCCATATCTGCCACTGCAGCCAATGCTGACTCATATTAATCAATTCCTCAGGGAAGGCTAAATGTCTGAGGCAGAAACCCAGATACCTGGTTACTGAGAGCAAGGAATAAGCCTGCTCTCATCCAATCTCATAAGCAGGATTTTCTGACGGGAAGGAGTATGGTGAGATTGGATCTTGAGGCACTTGTAGCCTCTGAGTGACCCACTGAACAGCAAAAGCTGCCTGCTACCATCCCAAGCTGAAGGGAAATGGTTATTCAATTCCCTACAGTTGGAAAAGAAGGGTGTTGTGACTATTTTAAACTACTGATATCCAACTGTATAACTTTCTGATTCAAAAGGCAGGGCTATTACTCCCTAGCCCCTACTCCCCTCTATAATTGACAGGAGAGTCTTCTGTACATAGGAGTATGCCCTGTCACAAAGTGTGCTACATCTGATCTGTGGAAAAAGTAATTTCACCCTCTAGGATGTCAATCCTATGTTCTAAACCAGTGCTGAAAGAACAAGTGCTTAGATGACTGCTATATTTTGACAAGCTGTCAACCCTTCAAACCTGCCAATTCACCTGTAATTTCCACAAGAACTCTTCTAGCAATCCAGTAGAATTGGAACCTGTCATCAGTATTAATAACAATCAGGAATACCACAAACTGACAGACAGTGGAAAAGTTCAGTTAAACAAGAGCAGAGAGCTCCTTAACAATGCAATATTACCAAACAGTTCTTCTGGCCTGGCCTCAAGGACCACCACAACAGTGTCAGCATGGCTCCTGCTGCCAAACCCTGCAGGCTCTTTCAGCTCCTGCAGTCCTGCTGGACAAGTCCATGCACCAGTGCTGCCCTCCCAGCCTAAAGGCCTAGCACTAATCTGCCAACATCTTAGATACAACTCAGCAAGAGCTCTTCTGTTTCATGCCTCACCTCTAATGTCTTGGGTTAGGCAAGCAGTGAGGTGTCCTTGTTCAACATGGAAGTCAGACAACCACAGAGGATGAAATGGGTTTAAGTAGGTCAAGTGCCAGAATGAGGTCTGAGCTGGGAAGTCCAAGACAAATGTTTTTCTGAAAGCTCCACAGCTGCTGCACAACAGTTGGCCCTAAACAGCATGCTTCAGTTTCGGCTTCTGGCACAGAAAGTGCTGCTCATGGACTTTGAACAGCTACCCACAAAATGGAGTGCCAGGACACAGAGTTTCAGGCATGAATGGACAAGAAAGGCCATATGAGGTCTGTTCTAGACTAGCTGGGCTCTTTCCTTTACTCCAGTGAGTGCAAAGAAAGTTTCAGTCAACTATGTTTAAGTTACGTGATTTACATGAGCTGAAATTAAACTTCATAACAGAATGCCAAAGACTTTTACTTTCCTTAATGTTATCACTCAGAAGCCCTATTACACTAAGAATCCTGTGTTCCTTGTTGTATTTTTGCCCAGGAACTTCTTGCTTACAATAAAAAGTTATATAGGAAAATATACCATTTTGTAGTTGAAATACATAATCCTACAAAATACTTTCTTATTCAAGAATATCATTTAGATATATATGATCTTGTGTAGAAGATGACAGGCTGGCATTAGATCTTCCACTGTTAACTGTAAAACCATTTCTGGAGTGATTCACACAACCAGAGATGCAGGAAAAGGAGCTCTCAGAGTACCTGTTGCTACCTGCCATTAGATAATCTTTAAAAAAGGGATTCTACCCTTGGCAATAGAACATTCAAACTGTTACCTTGGCTGGCAACTGTATCATAAATACTAAGATATGAGTATGTTCAATCATGTAGACTAATCAGTCCAGTAATAGTCCAGCCAACTTCTGGGTTTTACTCCTAAGCCATTTACCATCAACTTCCCAGATATTTATCAGATATCATAAGAAGTTTGTACTATCTTTGCTTCTGCATTGGCTTGGTTGCTGTGACCTGTAAGGTTTTAGCAAGTATTCCAGCACACTTGTCATTGGTTATTGCCACATAAACAAATCTCCCAATCACTTTCATACTCTCAACCACTGTGTTTTTTTCTCCTAAAGGATATAGGTGTTTCAGACCTACGTGGTAAAATCAAGCTTTTCCAAAAATATTCCTGACTGTGTGCTACAGCCACTTGATTTATACAAAGTAACTGGTCGTGCTGGATAGGGCCCTAGGCAGCCTGAGATAGTGGTTACAACTCTGCCCATGGTGTGAATTTGTAACCCAGTGATCTTTGATGTCCCCTCCAAACATTCTATGAGAATTAATTCTAATCAGAATTTATTAAAAAAGTTTAGTTTAGAGGAAAAAAAAAAAAAAAAAAAAAAAAAAAACAGACACAAAATCTCAATAAACTTTTGTAGGTTGTTGAGCCAAGTAACTGTTCAACAAAGCAATGTACAAATCTGTTTGACTTTCTGTAAATAAGTAAGTGGTAGTGAATGCATCCAATTCTGGTGACACAAGACTGGCAGCTTTAGGTTGCAGTGTGCTTGCTGAAGCCAGCCATGCAATCAAAAGAAAAATCAATAAACCACCAGTGGATTAGTCAGGATGTCGTACCCTGCCTCTGATAGACGGCTGTGCCTTAACGCAGAGCTTTTTCTCTTACATTTGGGCACCAAGAAACCAAATGTATCTGAGGGATCTGAAGTGAAAGTGGGAGAAGCTGGAACTGAACAACACACAACACCTTTGTTTACTTCACGTGAGGGGCTGAAGAAACAGTTCCGTGGTACAGCTCACATGGCTATTCAGAACATAACCACCCCTAATTTTGATTTGGGGCAGCTCAAATTTGATCTCAGCAAAGTAAGGGCACGGAACTGATGTATTGTCATGCTAAGTTTGCGGACTGCAAACTTATTATCCGTTATTATCCACTCGTCTTTCCCATGCAAGTTACCTAACACCGTTTTTGCAATGTGATCTCGGGCGAAGCCAAGATCCCCGTGGCACCCACCTCGGCAGCGGCAGTGACGGCACGGGGACCTTACACTGCCCACAGTTACTCAGGGAAACTTTCAGAACTCACACAAAGCGTACCGAGGGAAGCCTGGCTCACCACCAGCAGCGCCCCACAGTTTACGTCCCCTCAATTTTACCCGCAGGACACAGCGTCAGGATTCACAGCTGCAACCTCTGCCTGTGAGGTCAGGCATCCGCCGGCGGGACCGCCTTAGACAGCCACTCCGGGAGGAGACCCACCGACCAACAGGCACAGCCCCTGCGGGCACACCTGGCGCCGCACCGCTCTCATTACAAAGCCGATCCCCGGTCGCCCTGCGCGCGGACTCACCTGAGCTCGAGCCGCGCCGGTGGGTGCCCGCACGGGCGCCCCGGTGCTGCACGCCCGGTCCTGCGCCGCCCCGAGCGCCCCCCGCAGGAGCAGGGGACCCCCGCGCCGCCCCCACGCCGCCGCCATGCGGCCCGCGACACTCGGGGGGGGACCGGCACGGCCACAGCGACACCGCCTGCCGTCACGTGGGGAGGAGCGGCGGCCAATCAGAGCGGCCGCAGAAGAGGCGCTGCACGCTGGGAATTGTAGTCCGGTCCCCTGGGGCGGGTGGTGCGCAGTGAGGTGCCCGGAGGCCGAGGTCCAGCCGGCCCACGCGGGGCAGGGTCCCAGATGTCGCTCGGGAGCCCCGCATCCCGCACTGGCGAGGGCAAAGCCTCCACCGGCCGCTTTGTCATCTGTTTGTCCCCGCCCTTGCCCCGGCCCTTCACGCGATGCACGTGTGCAGCCCCGAGGCCTGCAGGCCATGTGGGGTCTCCCTGAGCACGGCTGTGTAAGGTGCTTGATGGAAGGCCTCGCACAGCTTACTCCAACAAGTCCCCACAACGACGGTCTGAGGACCAGAAATCCTGTTATCAGCAGTAGAACGTTTCCTGTGAAAGCAAAGACTTCCTCTTCAATCTCTGTCTTACAAGGGAACAAGGTAAAACTTTGTCAAAAGACCGAACTTTTATTTCTATCTTTATGAGACATTCCAACAAACTTAACAAAAACCAACTAACATTTTGGTTTCCCAGCACTCTCCCCTCCACTCCCACCGTTACACAAGAATGGATCTTAGGAAGAAGTGCCCTGTGGCCCACCATCCTGGTACATACCAGCTGCCTGTTCTCTCACATGATCAGACTGAAGGTGAGGTTGTTCTGAACTGTCTCATACCTGAAAGGAGGACACCGTTCCCCAAAAGTTTCCCCTTGTTCTGTTGGCTACGCTTTTGAAAGACACGTTTCCGTACATGATTTCTTCTGCTCTGAGCACTGAAATGCTGCAGCTCTTGTATTGCTGTAGCTGGTGAGAGTACAACTTATGCACCGTGCTGCTCCTGTGATAAATCTCCTGGTTTAAATCATGTCTTTTTCCATTACCAATTTCTTATGCTACAAAGACATTAAGAATTCCTTGCTGAGATGTGAATGAGAAATCCTGCTTTCAGTAATACCTGATATGTGATTGACTAGACCCTATAATTGCTTGTGTCAGCTATTATTTCAAGGTATAGTTACATGTATTGTTACAGATTCATACCCTTCATCGGGTTATACTTAAATCCTTACTCTTTAGCGAAATGCCTTCTTATGTCTAATTCAGTCTTTGGCATTTAGACTTTGTTCAGTCTGTAGACTGAATGTAACCTGGTAGGAAGATCTCAAGGTTTAATGCAATATTATTTTCTTTTTTAAATCTGAAGGCCTTTGAAAACAAATAAGGATTTGAATGATATGTGACATGGCCAAATATTATCTTGAAACCATTCTCATCAGCATGGGATTTTTGAGGTATTTTCAAGGGAATGCATACACAGATTGAAACAATGGAGAGGATAACAAGGTAAATGCTGATTTTATTCATAATTTTCAAAAAATGCAGAAGCAAGCTTGATGGTTACATTTACATTGCATATGTGAAGGGTTACCTTTTCCTGTAGAGCAGAAATAACTCTAATTAGAGGATTTCCTGACTTTAAGTGAACAGCAAGTGATAATGATAATTAAGGCTGAAATACAGAAAGGAATTTAGCTTTCTATTAAATGCAATAATTGTTTAAGTGAATATTTCAATTGAAAAAAAAAAAAAAAAAAAAAAAAAAAAGCATAAAGATCAAAATTAATTACAACTTGAGATAGGGACCAAAAATTATATATTGTTAAAAAGTCCACAGGATTCTCCTTTAATTATTTTTATCTTCAATAAAGGGACTGGTTCTAGAGTTATTTTATTTAAATACTGTATTAAGCTTGACTTACATCTGTAATACAGTAAAGATGTACATGTCAAGAAAGTTAAAAGTGAAATGTCTTTGAATACGTGAAGATATTTTGGGTTTTATTATGTGTAAGTATAGGCATTTCTCAGTAAACAAGCATAAAATCAGCTTTTACACCTCCAAAGGCAACAACTCACTCTCAGAAGTTGCTACTGTTGACAGAAATGCTTATCTAGAATTTAAAAAAGAAAAACACAACAGCAGCATAAATGCAAGGATTATCTGTGTAAGAGATAATTCCATTCTACTGGAATTTACTGGAATACAGTCTTATCGTTTGTTCTGAAGAGTGAAAGTTCTTGCACAACTGAGACAGTGGCTGGAGGTTGATTTTCTTTGCCTCTCTCAGCAGCTATCTGAAGAACTAGTACTCAGTGAGGAATTAGAGGCTTGAGATTTATGTATTTAAGCTGAGGTACTGTGCAGTGTGATGCCCTTGCATTGTAACCAAAGCTGTGTGTGACATTCCATCATGGCAAAAAATACTTATCTACATCTAACTGAAAAAAGCAGTGGCACTTTAGTGAAGCTCAAGATTGTTGTTCAAGGCAGTTTTAGGATCCACAGAGACTCTTGCCACTAGGCTTTCAGTTGTCTTCCATACGTTATGCAGACTTTCATTTGTGTTTGGTACAGAGTAATTCCATAGTGCGACTTCTCAAGAGTGCAATTTCCTGCCCTTACCACTGCTGCTTTCTTGTCTGACTTTCGTGGAGCCTAGATTACAGAAGTCTAATCTGCTGTGTACTTCCAAGATTTTGCTGAATTCATGCTTAACATGCTTAACACCTCCCCAGTCTAATTCAGCACAGTTGCACAGAGCTTTTCTCAAGACACTGCAGTGTGCCACTCGCAAAAGTCAGCGTGCTGACCAAGAAGCATCACACCTACATTGGCAATCAAACGACAAAGTCCGCTACATATATACCAGTGTTCTGTGTGTATCTCAGAGTTTATCTCAGAACAATACAAAAATATTAAGTGCTGGACTACTCTGGTGTTTCAGATAAGGATAAATTTTTAAATGCTTTTTAATCATGAGATAATAATAGAAAGGTAAAGGAGAAAGCACTATGTGAGCTGATAGACCTGTTACACTGAGTCATGATTGCCTTGTTAACCAAACTAAGCACACACTGAGAGTTGTTTCTCAACACCTTATGAAACATTGGGCTACAGGGCAAAGTGTAAAATGTGAACTTGTCCTCACGTGTGGCTGGAACACTGCCAGGTCTTGTACTGCGGCTAAAGAAAGGATAGACTACAGAAATTCTTGTCTAGGATGAGATGAGGGAAAACCTGCATATCTGACTTCCTGGTATTTGAGCAGGAAATAACTTTTAGAAATTGAAAAAACACTTTCATTTTTTTGCCTGTTCCATGCAAGCAGAACATCACCAGTCTTGGCATCTGTTATTAATAAGCAACATAGGCCTTTCTTTAAAGGAACTACTGCTGGAGGTTCACTGTTAAACATAAGAGCAGAACTGCCTTAAAACGTCTCACAGTTGTTCATAACATTCATTTCATAACATTTTTCAATTCAAAGAACACCATTGCATAATTACTTGTGTTTGCAGTTGAGAAATCCTAGGTAGTTGATAAAGCAGAAGATTGAGTTGTAGTTTGCTTTCTTCTTTCCACTCCTCCTTCTGTATTTTCTTTGATGTCTTCCAATTTTTCTGCTTTCAATAATGATAATAATAAATGTTAATTTAATGCTGCTAAACTCAGATAAAAATGTTGGCATTCTCTGTTTGAGAAAGCAGTATATAGTGTACACGGCAGTAGAATATCAAGGAATCCAACTGATTGTTCAAAATAAAGCTAAGTTTACACTTGTCAATACTTCTGCACAGCTACTCTACAGAAAGGGAAGTAGGAAATGCATAAAAAAAGATTGTGATACACAGTGGGAAAGTGGGAAAAGAAAAGGAGGAAAACAAGGGAAGGAAATAGAGGAAGAGAAAAAAGGGAGAAAGGGAGGGAGGTATGGCAGGAAGGGGAAATATTATTTGCTGTGAGCTTAAACTCATTTCTGTACAGCTTTTTCTTTCTCTTTTGACTTCTTTCCTTTAAATGAAATAGTACTGTCAAGCCTTCGGAATGGCACAATTGAAGAACAATGGCACTATTAGCATTCCTGTTTTATATCGACAAGTTCTGTGAATGACAACTGCTGAGCTTTTGTTTATCTGGAACAAAATTGCACAGTTTCACCCTTTACATAAGATTGCTGATGAGCAGGTCATTTATGGGCTGACCACAACAACTTTGCTTGTCCAATTGGACGTTTATCATGTTTACGTTCTGTGAAAATAAAAGAATAAATGTAGTGATGTAGAACAGCCCCACCAAATAAGATTGATGCAGATATAATCAAAGGAAGGATTAGGCAAATCCCTTTCTCAGCTTAACTTAGTGGGAGCTGATTTTACCCTCATTAGCTCTACCATTTATCCAGTATCATTGCTGTTTTTACTCTTTTAGATTTCATCTCTGTGTTTGGAACAGCAATCAATTTCATAGACTCATAGAATGCCCTGGGTTGAAAAGGACCTCAAAGACCATCTAGTTTCAACCCCCCTGCTATGTGCAAGGTCACCAACCACCAGACCAGGCTGCCCAGAGCCACATCCAGCCTGGCCTTGAATGCCTCCAGGGATGAGGCATCCACAGCCTCCTTGGGCAACCTGTTCCAGTGTTTCACAACCCTCTGTATGACAAAATTCCTCCTGATATCTAACCCAAACCTCCCCCATCTCAGTTTAAAACCATTCCCACTTGTCCTATCACTACCCACCCTTGTAAACAGCCGTTCCCCCTCCTGTTTATACGCTCTCTTCCATTTATTTGGCTTGACATATGATCTTATATGATAGATATTTCCCATGACATTTGCATTAAGAAAGTGCAGTAGTGTCAACAAAAAACCCTTTTTGACATCCCAACAATGCAATCCACAAGAGCATAGACCTTCAAGACATTTTTTTGTATGTGTGTGCTGGAAATGTTTGATGCAACTTGAAAATCACTTCTAAATAGTGATGTATACTTGCCTTTCGACTTTCACACCAGTAACCAGCGTCCTAGTCTACCTAGGGAAGTATTTACTTTGTGGTTGTATCTTGGCTTACTTTGTTAGACAAGCAAAATTCCAGTCAGTTAAGCATTCCCTCAAAGCAAGTTAAACTGTAACAGACAACATTTTCAGAAAGTTAATTTGTATCAAATGATCTTTATCAAATTAAAAAGTTATAAGACATAAAAATAGAGCAAAATAAAAGAAATTAGAAGCAACATCAAGGCATCTTTGTGGGCGGTTGGCATTATTGTTTTGTGGAAGTTTATATCAAAGACTGTATTTTTACAGATGCTGTATTTCCCTATTTAACATCCCAGAGATATTTCTGTCATTTCACATCCCCCAGACACTGTAGTTCTGTTCAGATACTGCAAATCACAATAGAGAACAGTGGTTAAGCAAATGTAATCTCACTGAATATTTCCCTCTTACATCTCTGGCTATAATCGTGTAAAAGAAAGGCAGGAAAGATCTGTTTGCAGATTCACTCTCTCCTTTGATCTCCCGTTCCCAATGTTTTCTGTAAGCTGTTTTTCAAAAAATATTCAAAATGTAACAGTGTTTTGAGAAAGCTTTCCTTCAGTTTTCAAACAGAGGGTAATTACCTTTTTATGCATTGTTTAGTCACATAGATGAAGGGAAAGAGAAAAGAGTTCTGCTCTTTTCAGGGGAGAAAAGAGTTCTGCTCTTCTCATTCCTGCCACTCACCTTCACATAAGTGACTACAAATAGTCTATTAGGTTACAGAAAATCAAGCCCTGGAGAGGTACCTGTCCAAACAGTAGTACTCAATCTAACCTCAGAGAAGCCATCAGACCAGAAGTTGCAAAACTTACAACAACTATGTCTGCTACATTTAAGGCTATATTGTTGGTAGTACCTGCTTTTCTAAAGCTTTTCACCCATTCTGGTAATTAGTCAGGTCTTGTGACTGGCTATCTACTGAGTCTCTGAAATAGTTTGCTGTGGAGAAGTGAGAGTGAGTTTATTCCAAGGAAAATGCATTTAAAGCATTCTATTGGCTTTGTATTTCTTTGTAGTTAGTGATTCATTAGGCTCTCGGCCCTAGAAATTTTGTCTCCTGACCCAGTTATTTCAGCTTCAAACCCTCTGACTGTAAAGCTACAAAAGAAGGAAAATTAATTATAAAACAAAACATGAAAGTGGAATAGGCTGGTTTGATACTGACTTGAGTGGGCTTTTGTTTGCTGGAAAGACTGTCCTCTTAGACAGTGGAATGCCTTTTTTGTTGTTGTTATTTTGTTAAGCTTGGCAGCTTTGCCTGTTTTCGCAATCTGGTAACTTATCTCCAATATCAGTGCAGCAAAAGCTCTGCTCTCTTGGCAGCATCATTTTCAGTCAAAGAGGTTTTGTGTTGTGGCTGTTTACAAGTTTGTTTCTTCTTCTGACCAAAGAAAATAACTTTATCTTGAGTAAGTCTTCCTTTTCCAAGTGGCATCCTCATGATGAGGCTGAGCA